GTTATTATTTCATGTAGTGCACAGTGATATAATGTAATTCCCTGTGCTACTTTAGCATATTTATCCAATTATGCTATATTCGACGCTGAGATTTTATGGTCAAATAAATGTTGATTCTTTATTTTCAATTGTATCTCAATTTTATTATCCCCTAAATGTGTGGCTTAGTCCCTTTTGCATGAATAAGGTTTTGAGTTGATGAATGAAGACTGTAAAATGAATCTCTCTGTCTGCCCAATAATCCAGTGGTTTGTAATACGAATGCATTGTTCCTCATGAACATAGCAAACTCTGTGTGTGTATAGTCTGATTGACTCTGTACAGTTTGATCGATGTACTGAACCACACAGTCACTCTATGTTATTTGGTACAGGCACATATTTCATTTATTTGAGTTAACATGCCTATAAAACAAAATAAGGTTTTCAACGTATTCTGTGGCTTTGAAAGCCTCCAAAGTCTCAACATCTTAAAAACTCTACGAAAAGTTCCTTGTATTTTTCTGTAATACAGTATTGACATTGAAACTCTTTGACTTAACACCTTTTCTTTTTGTTATGGACACAGCCGTTCAACAGCATGAATTTTGATGTATTTCATTTATCTTTGTAGATTTTAAAACATCTTTTGACTACTGGCTTAACTGCTTACTTACTATGTTACAGATAATATTCACTGTTCAGGATACTGATGATGAAAGTGAGTTGTTTTATAAGGACATTGTCCCATCTTTCTTTGGTGATTTTCGGCGAGATGACCTAAGGCTTGAACATTAATTGGAATATTATTGTGTTCTGTAAATACTACATTTTGAAATGACATCCTTCAGTACTTTGATTCTAGTAACATACATGAAGTCCACGTTTTATCCACAACACTGTTATCACTGTTTTCAGGCGTTTCTAGGAGCATCTGAGAAGTTAATCAGTCGAGGGATCATCAATTTCAGATGATAATTTTTATTCAGAGTCATTCAGTAAACTTTATGTGCATGAAATCATTTGATTTGCTTCACTTTCAAAAATGTAGACTTAAGTAAAAGATGTAAAAACTATTTTTTCTCGATGAATTCACATTGATAGTTTTTCTGCTGTAAACGAGACTGTCACTTACTTATAAGCTGCAAATATATTACGTTTATTAGCATAATTATCCTACATCAGTTAGCGGTATGAGAAATAAAGTATTAAAAAACCAGTCCTTATTACTCAGACACAAAATTCAGCGTCTTTACACTGATATGGAGAGACATACGTAGCGTCATATTCACTAGTGAGACGATCAACTCTACAAGAATTTTATTCTCAAGAGACATTTTTCTCTCAGTGTTTGAGACGTTTAAGAGGAACAAAAAGAGAGTGCTCAGTATCTAGTGTACTTACGTCTCCTCATTAACATATATGCAGAAATAATCGCAATAATTTATTAAAACAAACGGTAAGAGCTAGTTAAATGCAATTTTCTAGAGTATTATTAGTCATTAGAAGTAATTAAATTGTGATTAGTCTTTATAAACAATTAGATCTGATAGCTAGATATTTTAATTTTATGGCGGAATTTAGATGTGGGTTGGAAAAATTTTTTAATTCATCTTGCTTCCGAATTAGAGTTTAACCACTCTAATTCTCTTCTTCCAGCTATCAAAATAGAATATTTTTCCTAAACGTCAACCATATTTGTCACTTATGATAGTTTAGTTGGTTGTAGCTAGCAGAATAATCCAGGAGGAATAAAAATAGAGGTTGACTTTCACACTTCTTATTGTCATCCAACCTATGCTGCTGACTTACTCTCTGATTACACATTTGCCCTGAGTGATACTAAGTTTACTGATCCTTTCTCAATCTTCCCTATATTGAGTTGAGTTCTACACATCTGTTGATTACTAATCAACTGAAGCATAATGCTTTTAGGACTCATTCTTTTACGTATTCATAAATTATTAAGCATTTTGAATCACTCACATTTCCCTCATCACATAATTCTGTGCACATAAATTTCTCAATAGTTTAGAAAAAAAGCAAGAACAATAAGAGCCTATGAAATTGAAATCAGTCCTTTTCTCTTAAAGTCCGCCTTTTTAACTCTAAATTACAATGCATAATTGTATTCAACAACAACTAAAGAGATTAAAAAATGGTCAGAAAGGGTAAGATATATTCATCACCATGAATGAATTAATTTAAGTATGCAAATCCAAGAGTTCTACATTTTTCGAATTCAAGCTACGTTAACAACTATTCATATACATTTACATGAGAAAGTTTATATGGTACAGCTTCACTACTAATTAACGTCCTTGTAGACGAACAAATGTAAGATGGTCTTTCTGTGTAAAACATTGTCTTTTGCTGTTGAATCAGTTAATTATGTAGACAATATGGAACTTGTAATATTTGGTCATTATTTGTATTAGCCTGCATGAGTTGGGACAAATCTGGCTGAAGTGTTGACCATAAAACGTTTGAGAAGCTTCAATATAATGATAATATATTTTTATTATAAAGTTAGTGTGTTTAGAAAGTCAAAACAAGATATTTTTGGATGTTTCTCTGTGTAAGCAAAAGCTTCTTAAGCGAAATTAAGGAATTCCAACGACATCAAAAAGTACAATTATTCGCTTGACTTTAGCCACAAGAGGAATCTGAAACACCCGTTTCGTCGTATTTTGAACTGATTAGCTAGATATAGGACAGTTAAGTTGTATGTTTTTACACTGAAATTGCTTTCACTCATTTTTTGGATAAAGCAATCTAAAACGTTTGGAGTTCTATCCTCGGATTCTATTCAGTACTGAATTTTACCGAATTTGAAGTGGAATTTATGTATTCTAAAAACGTTTGCTGACTTGTTTTGTTAAAAATGGCAAACACATCATTCACAAATTTATGCCACATTCTAGGTTGACACTGGAGGCCTTCTACTGCTCTTTTTTCCGAAGGTTTGATGATATATTTTGATGTCATCTGGTGTATTATTTGTTTTATGATATCTGATAATTAATTGTAGCTTTATACACTACTATGCACTTAAAAGGTTAGATAAAGAACCTTCTCATGAATACCTTCGGTATGTACTCAAATGTTTCACATGGTATATTTGAAAATAGGTTATCAAGCAACAAATTATCTTCTTTCTCTTCCTTCATAAATGGAAGTGTTTAACGTAGTGGTGTAGGCACATTTCGCTTTATCCAAACGAAATAAGGCACGTAATAATGGCGAGTAATTTTTAGATGTAAAAATGTTAAATAATTTTTAGTTCCACGCAAGGAATATTATAATTCGGTTTGAAATTTAAAAAGCCATGAAAGGAAACGTAGCCGTTCTTCTCAGTAATAACATATATCAGCGAATCATGCAATAAATATTAGGAAAATAGAAATCAGAATTAAAGAAGATGCTAGTAAATACTTCGTAAAACTACACCACAGTGACTTGGCTAGTTTGAAGTTGAAGAAACCTTTTATTCTTCTTTCAGTCAGCAAGTGAAGATAGGCTTCCTTGCAAAACCTAAACGATCATATTTGTTAATCAATTAAGCGGGTGTCATAATATCATTCCGTTACGAAATACTTTTATTGAGCATTTTTGATAATAAAAGTGTCGCCGTAATTATTTTTAGTTTGGATACTATAACAGAATAAGAATAAAAATTTGACCGATCTGGACAAAAAATCCTCTTTAAAAATGAATAAAAAAAGAAAATTTTATTACTATTTTAATTACATATTCCAAGAATAATGCCTTCCAGAAATCAGAACTGCGTAAATAGGAAAAACAAATATTTATTGAATCTATAATCAGTGAACATGATTGATAACCTTTATAATTCACTTCAATTGTTCATTCATATGTAAAATAAATATCTTATGAATATGTTTTTACTATTTATGTTTTAAATGGAATTCACCGGAAAAAGTAGTGTGATGAAAATTTGTTTAATTCAGTAACTGTATCATCTCAAACAAATCCATTGAAACAAACACACTTGTTTCAAATTTGTTTGAAACATTTACGCAACTGTTTTAATGATCTTATTTTTGTTCATAGATATCTTGTTTTTAACTTGTGTTCCTGTTCATTTTTTTCTTAAAATTTAGGCGCACAGAAGAATTAAGTCACAGCTGAAGTGTAAATACAATAAATGTAGGTAAATAAAAGTTCATTTTTCGATTTTGTCTAAAACTATTATCATTTAAAAGTATGGAGTCATTATACACAAAGACAGTATCAAATTTGAGTTTATCAGGAGCTTTTAACTTATGATTCAGTAGGCTTATTTGCAAATTCAAGTCTTAAAAGCATCATACTTCACTACATCCTAGTCGTCCTTGTTTTTATGATGAGGAAGTAATTTACAACATAATTTCTTACAATGTTAAACTCGCACTTATTTAATTTCATAGATACATAGTCCTAGACTTTCGAAAGTTCCAGATGAATTTTTTAAGTATATGTCAAATATATACAAGGGCTTGTTTTTTTACTGCACTTATAAAGTGGTAGATTACTGGTGATACTTTCGTGTATTTCATACCGTTGTATCATTGGCCAACAAGTATTTTCAAGACAAATACGCACTGTTTTCAGATGAGATAATTCTTTTGATTCATCGTCATTTTTTAAATGTAAGGCAGTCTGATAACCTGTGTTGTATCATATTGTCCACTGGGGAGACGAAAAAATCCCCAAAGTAAAATCATGGATAAATGAATAAAGTAGCGAGGTAAAAAAAGTATTTGGTAGATGTTTGTAGTATTTGCAAACCATCGGTAATTATGAAGTGGTCACGTAGTAATTCCTAAGCTAGTTTAATAAGTATGTATTTTGGAGGTTTTACATTTTCAGTTAGTGATGTTACAGAGTCTGTTCTCACGGCTTTATATCTCTGCAAAAAGCTCAACCACTTCTGTTCTACCAAAAACACTGTCAACGATAGTTAATTTTAAGGTCCTTTGAGTATGACCAGTGTAGTTAACTTCCTAGGATAGTTCAGAATCATGCTTTTTGATAGTTTACAGCCGTTTTAAAATTAAATATTAATTTTCGAATTGCATACGGTATCAGTTGATTTTCTTTCCGTTTTAATGCGGGCTTCACTTCATGCAAAAAACCGATTCGCAAATGTGTCATCTGTAAATCAGATAAATTCTCTAAAATAATTACTTGAAAATACTTAGCTAATTGCATATGTTTGAAATGAAAATGTCGAACGCATGCAATAAAGTCCTAGAATACATAGGAACAAAATTTCTTAGCCACTTTGTTCCTTAACACTTCAAGTACATATAATCAAACAGTTTGTAAAGGAAATATTTTTTTTGTTTAATGATAAAACTGCGCAGTTTATCGTGTTGATTGGCCGGACAAATTTAGCTAACTGCTATTCAAAATAGTCTAAACAATAAATTCTACATATTCCTCTTTCTAATGCGTACAATCCATTTGTTTTCGAAAAATTAAGCCAAAATAATATATAGGTGGTTAGTTTGCGAATACAATTGAAAGTGGAGCATATACTAGTAGGAAAAGTAGTTGTGCAGTATGCAAATTGAAAGATGTTTAAGATCTCAGTCTTTCAAATAAAATCTGTGTCACTATAGGAGTAGGTTGTGGCAAATTAAGGAGTACTACAAAACACTGTAATCAGTTCTATGTTTACTGTTAGTCTGAAGGAACAATATCAGTCGTAAAATCGAGCCCATGAAATAATGTTATTTGAGATGAAGGAGGTAAATGAAACTCACAGATTGGGAGGATACTATTTATGATTGTAAACGCTTAAGTGGATTGATCTACCAATGCTGATGTAAGCTATGCGCAGGTTTGCTACATTCTGGATATTGGAAAATCAACTCAGAAAGTCTATATTCTCCGATAGCTTCTACACATTCGCTTCCATATAGTACCTGTCTGCAAGTATTATAACTGCTTTTTGATACTCCCAGTTAGGCATGGGCAAGGGGTACAATAAAAAGCTCGTGTTCATAACAAGGCGGTCCTAAAACTCTTTCATCATTCCATTTGTTCCTGTTTTTGAACACATAACAGTTAACGGTTTCAGTTTCTGAAGCATTTGAATAAACCGACAAGATGACAAACTCCGTACGCTTTCAAAAAAAGTCTTCTTACAAAGTCATCTCCAAAAAAATAAAGGAGTCTCAACAAAATAGTTTACCATTTTGTAAATAGGTTCGTTCAGTCATGCAATTTTAAATGAGATTCCAATAAAATGAACAGGGAACTGGAGTGACATTATGCAGACAACTGTGTCACTTATGTATGTTGCACTCCAGCGAGAAACACAGATACTTAAATATTTAGAACCCCTGGCTAGTAAATATGAAGCACAAGTTTCCTTCGATTGAAGTAGCGATTTCAACACACATTTTTAATAGAAATGCTGCTATAATCCTCATCAAAATAAAATGTTAGCTATTTATACTCAGCTCTCCAGCAAACAATATGCTGTTATTTGACTCACAGTTGTTTGGTGCATACAATAAAAAATTATGCAAACCAGTCTCACTCAGATAAATGGTCATCACATTCACGTTGGAAGCATAAAGGAAAACAAATTCTGTAAAATAAAACTGGTATGCTGCAATGATAGGCGTACCGGCTGAAAGTAGGATTTTGCTTAACATGAGGTTGGTAAATAGCGAATATCGAGTCTTCAGCTTAATGTGTGCAACTATCTTTATATGCGGTAACTTTTCAAATGAGTTTTTACTAGGACGATATACCTGATATTCATTTTGCTATTTATCTGACCCCATGGACGCAGAAAACCTAATTCATTGATTCCGAAAAATATTATTTACATTCACAGTTGGTTTCGGACACTTTCTGTAGCAGACAAAAAGAATCTTCTGTTAATACGGGTGAAAGCTGAGCATTCTGGTAATATGCAGTTATTTGTTTGATTAGCTTTTGGTACTTCATACGCTTCTACTGTACTATGAATCATTTTCCCCATGATCATCAAATGCTGATCACAAAATATTATTAATTCACTGGCAGAATGCATACTGGCAAATGTGGTAATCAATAAGCTGTAAACAGCTTACACCTTAACTTTTAAACTGAGTACGTTTCATGCATTAAATTTGCTGAAGGTATCAATAAATCTTACATACGTTAATAATGGTGGATTGTAACTAGCAGTGAAATTTAGGACGCGCATTTCGTCCTATTTGGGACTCGTCAGCTGGGCGTACCTGCTTCCTAGTGAGTGTTGTTGCTCCCACCAGTATTCGGACTTGGGGGCGATCACTTCAAACTCTAGGGTGTTATCCACTGCACCACCAAGCCATAACAGCCACTTCTTGTGTGACGGGTATAGTTTTAGTATAATTGTTTCTATATGATACAGTCGTTGCTTGCCAATTCAGTCTGAGCAACGACGGTATCATGTAGAAACAATTATACTATTACTTACGTCATGTTTATATTTTTTCGACGAAGGACAACTTGACTATAAGACTTTTAAATCAACGAATTCAATTTAAACTTGTTTTTCTTATTTGTTTTGCTCATCCTAAAACCTATGACTAGTTAAATAAATGTGTCTTTTCAATTAGTTCCTCATCAATGGCTCCACACTAATATAGCATTTTCAAACGTAAAATTATATACCAATCTAGTGGTGAAAGTTGTTCAATGAAAGAAGATCATTTATTGCCGCCAAGTTATGTTGTGTTTTCTACAGCCGGCCGACGATGACCAAACGAACTAAAGACACACTCCCTGACTTCTCTTCTATGTACATTTACCAGTTCAACAGCTCATGTGGAGCTAGTTACATTGAACGTACAGTTAGGCAAGTCCGTCGTCGAATCACCGAGCATCATCCTTAATGGCTGAGTAAGGGGGAAACCAGATTGACACGAAACTCAATACTCTCTCACCTGATTGACATCGGCCACCAAGTTAACATTCATAATGCCTTTAAAGTTATTTATCACATCCCTTCTCACCTCATCCATGCTCCACGAGTTCGTCATTTACATACAGCAGAAGCCATAGGAATCCACCTACACAAGCCAAGTCTGTGTGTTCAGAAGAGATTCGTACAGCCTCTTTCTTTACTTTGGCCATCTGTATAGCTCATTTATTACAACAAGACTATTTCATCCACCACAAAATTCATTATAACATATTTTAATAGCTCCATCATTATTATTATTATTACAGACAACCATCTTTCTCTCCCCCTACTCTCTCTAATTACCGTCAACAATTTACCATTTTACGTAACAGTTCATTTTTGCTCTTTAGTCATCACTATACAAAATATCAATTATATAAGAATCTGTTCACAAAGTCTTTCTACGATAATTATTCTTTGCTTTAATTAACTGTCTTAATTACCTGATCAATTATCACCTTGATACTTTGAGATTGATAACCTTTCATTGAACAACTCTCACCACTAGACTGGTATATAATTTTACGTTTGAAAATGCTATATTAGTGTAGAGCCATTGATGAGGAACTAATTGAGAAGAAATACTTCTTCGCTCACATTGTTTACTTTTATTGAACGTCTAAATGGTAATATTTGCATTACTGAAATATATGTCTGTTTTGTAATAAGCATATCACTAATTGGTACTGAAATTATACATCAACAACAATTATACATTCATACTTTGATATATACTGATTATCTGCCATGATATCTAGTGATGCCTTAGAACTGTCATAGTACATGTTGGCAAATTGAATTCAGAGGCTGAAGTCAACTCATTACAACCAAACATTATTAGTCAGTCGTATGGCGAAAAACAGTCAGGGCTGTTAAAAGATTGAGATTCTAACAACAAAATCTTTCGGTTACGTTTTTCTGCTTCATTATCTTATTTATCAATACAAGACTGATAACGAAAGAGTAAGCACTTTTCGTTTAAAATTTCTTGACATTAAGTTGCTTTAAACCTATAATGTTTCTATTATTTGCATTTTAGGTGCCAATGAAAATAGGCTTTTACTTCAGATCGATCAGTCGTAGGTAATTTCTTGGCGGAGAAAGTCCTTCTCCCGAAACATTATACATGCAATCGTCTCCAATCTTTAGTTAAAATAACCCTAATAATGAATTTGCTCAGAGCTGTTGCTTTTTATGTGTAGCATGTATGGTTGCCTATGTATGACGCCAGTTGTTGTATGAAATAATAGGTCAAACGTTTAATCTGAGAAACAGTTACGTTCAGTTGGGTCTTTTGACGCAACTATCCTGCAGCTAATGTGGATAAAACTTTCAATGAAAAGTTTTAGTGATCACAGTCTTATTTAGGAAAACTTTTTCAGAATTATTTTCAGTGTAGGTTGCATTTTGATGGTGAGACCTAGACTGAAAATGTACCGAACGTCTTTACTCATCTAGCTATTACATTGCAAAACATATAGTAAATATGACATCTTTCGACATAAAGTTTATAGAAATAAATCATGCTGCCACTGTAGAATTCTGATGTCGTAAACCTTGTAAGAACAAATTTTGGAGTATTTGCTTAATGTGCATTCTTTGTGTCGTGGAATTTAACGTCTGTTACCCAGTTATGCGGAAAATTTTGCGATATATCTTTTTCTATTTTCTTTACTCATTCCTACGTTTTTTGTCCAAAAACTTTTCTAGAGTTGCAAAAGTAGCCGAATTGGAATAAACAAACGAATACTCAGGATGATGATTGTTTTTGTGTGGGTTTCTATTTTTGAGCGATTTGCAGGAAACATTTGAATTTATTATACCTAGAAGTTGGATAACAGTTAAACTCGTGTAATGGTAGTCTGGATTAAACACTATATAACCGTCATTATGACCCTTCACGTGTAGTTATTGTTTTACATTTGAAAAAGTCTACATCTACGCGATGTTGTCATGTTAGCCTAATTTAACACTCTGGATAAAAGTATTACAATAAATGGGGAGATTTTTTAAAAGTTTGCCTAAACTGGCTAATTTCAAGCACTAATTGAACGAAATAATAACCACTAACTCCAGGCATTCTACATAAAGTCAATATGACAACATGCTGGATACCAGCAGTAAAGTAAGACTTTTCGAAATGATTTCCCCACCAACATTTTTTCTCACATAAACTGCTTGGTTTGTCGACACACGATAATTTTACCGAAGTTTTTCAAGCGGCTTCACTTCCGAAACATGCTTTGGCTCTGGATTATTAATAAAATGTAATCCATCTGCTACTGCACATTGTGTCCGATAAAATGCTTCCTAGATAAAGCACTTTTTATAGTATTACTTAAAACTTATGATGATAATTTTTAAAAAAGATCAGAAATATTCCGTAAAATATCAATTCTGTTACATTTAACCCATTTTCGAATAAAAAAGTTCATGTAGTCTGTGCAAAATCTCTTCGCTTCACAGTAATTCGCCAATGTTTTTTGGAAAAACAAATAAAAGCATGTTAAACAACAACGACTCTTGATTACGTTGTTACGATTCACTTGATATGGAATAATTGAAGTATAAAAAATCCCTTAAAAAGGTTTAAAATATTGATTTCTTTATGCTCGTTCTATCTATTATTTTACTCAATAAAATAATAAATTGTAGCTTCTCGTTCTATCGTGATCATTTGTAAAACTGTATATGCTTCTTTCCTATATTTTTCTACGGTGATTATGAAGAATACTGATTGATGTGAAGATAATTTGTTTCAATTTTAAGATAAATCATAGTGATTGAGTGTTCTTTTTTAACTATTGAATAATAATCATTGTCAGAAAATTTAGTTTCTCACAATAAATGCTATTCGGATGAGAGAGCATATTCGTGGAGATGGAAAAATTACTAGTGTGAGCATTGCAATAATAAAGTTATTTGTTTTTCTTTGATTTATGACTTGATATTCCGATTCATTTTTCTACATAAAGCTTGTGACATGACAGTAGTGTAACTATCGGTCTCTGAAACCCACACTTACAGTAAAATATAATAAAAAGAGTGATATCTTGAATACTTTTTCTGACAGCTTAGTTTGAGAAAATGTATCCTCTATGACAAAGTGGAAAAAGGGAAGAAATCATAACCGTGTGAAACTGTTATTTGACTGTTATGATTTGGTTACATTCTTCTTTACTGCATAGTTATCTGTTTATGATATATCTGTTAATAGCTTTACGAGTAAATTACCTTAAAAATGAGTAGCTTTGAAACAACCGTATTGTTAGGTGATGCACAAAAAATTATTGAAGTATAAATGAATGGTTCAATGCAGAAGTCTTTCTTTAAAGAGCATTCTTGCAGCTGTGTCCACTTTCTGAATTTTAAAGAAAACGTATTAAACTACCTGTATTTCTGGTAGTTGATATTATCGTGATAATATTCGGAAAGTAATGAAATGTGTGCATACAGAACAACCATCTAGAATTTTGCTACTAAAAATATTTCTTCAATTATGAGATAGTTACATAACAGCGATACATACTGTGGCATATGATTAGTAACATGATGGAATCAGAAAATCGTGTCTTGGATGAGCAATACCTGGGTGACCTTGAGGCCTTCAGTTAAACTGCAGATGTTACTTTACTGAACGCAGGCGTGAAACTAGGTTTAAGTGTTGTTATGGAGGATGCAGCTTACTTAAACAAAATTTTACCGAACTTTGATGAGAAAAATATCCTGAATTACTTTACATGTGTTAGTGTGGTAAGTAAGTCTATGGATTGTAGTTACGGAAGTGAAATGACACCTACTTTATGTGAAGATGTAAAGGTTGTTGGAAAATAGAATAAATTACAAATAGAACATTTCATGCAGAATATAGTCTTAGTTTTGCAACATATTGTTTACTTAGTCTTCCATTGGATAAATGCAACGCGAGTAGCAACAGCAGGAATTTTTTGGACTTATCAACTATCAACGTGACACAGTGCTTCAGCAGACTACTGTGATAACCTTTGATATCTGGGGTAAAAATATGAAAAATGACGTGCTGGGAGGGTATGGAGCAGAAAAAAAGTTAATTTACTCCCACTGCTTCAGAATAAAACTTAGTTGAGAACTACTACAAACACAAATGACTGGAGGGAATATGAACTTATGTGTGGTTACGTTAAGAGTACTATAGACATTCATCAACAGCTACTGCCTACACTCACTCGATACTGAAGATCAGATGACTAGAAAGAATCAGCAACAAGGAACTCTGGCCTGGCAGAGAAGCAACGAAGAACCTATCACCCAACAAATATGCAGAAGAAAGTGGAGATGGATTTAAGTGGACATTTACTGAGAAGACCATTAGGAGACATTATGTGCCACGTCATGGCCTCGAGTGGAACCCAAATGGGTAACGACGTGTTGGGCGTCGGAGGGTGACATGTAGGAAATTGTGTGAAGAAAAAATGAAAGCTTGTGGGCAGTCGTGGAGCCAGGTTCAAAAGACTGCAGAGAACAAAGTGCAATGGAGACGTGCTACTGAAGCCCTATGTTCCACTAGGAACCCAAGTGACAAATAATAATAATGATATGTTAAGAACCGAACTGATTGTGAACAGGTGTCATTTTGTGAACCTCAAGACAGAAGTTATTGATACTTTAAGGTTCCTGAAGTTGTATATCACAACATACCCTGAAGTTATATAGTTAAATTATGGTATAATACTTGTTTTAAGTCTGAAACAGGAAAAACAAGGAAAATTTTCCATAATCACATTTAACCGCTTTATCTGTTGTACTTTTCTTGTTGTTATTTACCAGAAATCGACTCCTGTCTACGTGACTTCAGGTTATATGTTTGGCTGCGATGAAGTTTCAGGGTCGTTTAAATGTTACTCAAGTCCAACATGGTCACTCTATTCAACCAAACTTATTGAAACTAACTAGTTAAAAGTTACAGGTTTTTGAGGTGGAGCGTGGCAGAGTACGTAATGCAGGACACAATATCTACGTGTACGAGACAATATAGGGTTCATTTTTTTCACACTTTGGTTAAGCATATTATGATAGCTGTTTACGTTTGCTGATGGATCACGAGATCTATAGTCGTTGATTGCAGTAAATTTGCACTTGGAAAGTTATCTTTTATAACGACACTTCAAATGATGAAATTAAATTTTGCCTAGAAATTTCAGTCTCCCAAATTATTTTAATTTGAAGATAGTTTTGGGAGCTGTTGTCAAAGCTAAAAAAATCCAGGAGAACAGGAAATTTTGCAGTAAGGTTAATCAAAGCATATCTTTCTGAAATAAAGGCATATATTGATGAAAATTCAAAACACGATATTTTCCTGTTGGTAGATGTAAAGATAATTTGAGTGCAGGCTTACTTTTAGTCATGACCGTCTACTACTGTATTCTGGTGGACAGACGTACCTGCGTAACTGAAGTCATCATACATAAACATTATCTATAAACGCATGCTATAAGTAGTTATATAATGGACTTAGTTTGAATATTTCCGAAAGTTGCGTCATACTTATAAGCATAGTTATTGACGACAGCGTAAGAGTAGTCCTCTTACATGCATCACTAAAAATAACTACGTAGCTGACATTCAGGAGCCGTGCTGTGAAAAAATGTAAAACAAGTAAGTAATACAATATACGCCACATTCACAGTTCTTGCTGCTGATTTTCGTGATGACTTGAAAACGAAAGGAGAAATGTCATATGTTGAGGTTGTTCCATAGTTTATACTTTCATCTCGATGTAATAAAATGAGATCGTTCATCATATCACTCTTCAGTAAGGTAACAAATTTACTGAAATTAACAAAAATACCTTTTACATCAATGATGGTAGCAAATATTAGAAACGGTAAAGAGTTGGTTTTCTAAACACTTAAGTGACTATTTTTTTTCAGTTGACAATAATGAAGCGAATATCGCAAAATATGAGTTGGTAGTTCAATTTCAATCAGTTGGAAGATTTCCGTCCCCAGAAATGTTGGTGATTTATTCATAAAATTTCCTCATTTGTTTTTTTTGATGACCAAAGCATAATTTATTTATCGAACTCAATACATTTTTTAACGGTCTCATACATTAGGAATGTTCACCAAAAATTGTATATATTCGCGACTGTACAGCTTTGTAAATGAATTCCTGGAATGCAGCCTTTTCATATGTCAAACTCTATTCAACGAAGATTTTTTGCGCCAACTTTGAACATGGTATTCATAAACTGCCCATTGTCTCCTGACAACTCAAAAGAAAAGCAGTCGCATGTGACCAATTTTGCGTGCATTTACTGGTTAATCTGCTCTTGTACAGCAACGTAATTGGGTCATTTAATGCTAATCTTACCAAAAAGAGTCCAATAACTCTATTTTATTACAAGTGCTGTTATTGTAAATTTTGTAAGTATTAAGACTTTATTTCCTGAATTTCACTTACAGCGTTATTCATAAAGTAAAGGCGAATCTTCTGAAGAGCGTAGGTCTTCGTTTTCATCGAATCGAAGAGTCCATCGTCATCGAATCAGAAAATAATGATGAGTGAATACAGAAGAGATTTATACAGCCCCTTTTCCCATAACTTTTACTTGGAGCCACTTTCTATCCCCTTTTTTCTTTTGTTTTAAATTTTTCTTTTTTCAACTCTGTTCAGTTCTTATGCAACCCCCATTCATTATATTTTTAATGGTCATTATCACGCTTTATCTGTATCTTATACTCTTTTTGCCATGTTTTAATGTATTCTGGCTATTCTTCATGATTTATAACGGTCCTGATACTGTAGTTTCACTGGTTATTAAGCTAACAAACATTAAATGTATGAGTGCTCCATGAGAGGTATGTGGTTCTTGAGTGCAAGCATCATTAGACGGAGTATTTGGTACTCATGTGGAAAACACGAACGTGTTTGTAAATATGGCTACAGAAAATATTATGTACAGAAATCGCGAATTTAGTCTTAAATCACAAACTGGTCTAAAATTTCTATAGTCTAACATCACCTTTCTTTCGGTGGAAAATGTAGTTAATCGCGTCGTAGTCTTCCTGTTTGCAAACATTACTGTGTCTTCTGAATTTGAAGTAGCCATCATTTTCAAAACTGCGAAGAATTTTCAAATCGTAAAATGATTTTGTTAACCGACATACTTTATCTTTAATTATGAAGTTCCTACTATCCTTTTGAAGATTTTCATGAAACATTTTCATTTTCAACTTTGGATAAAAATCATTTTTCTGTTCAAGGGATGTCATTTTTTCAATGTTTTCTCTGAATGCTTTGCAAGTTATTTTAATTTTTAAAATGTTGCGAATAATGACTAACGGAAAAGCAGCCAAAATTCATTGCCACTTACAAGGGGATATCATGAATGGAAAACCTCAGCATAAAAATGTAACAACCACTGAATAACACTGAAATGGTTGAGATTTATACTTCAAGATCTTGAATCACTTTAGAACTTTTGCTTCACTTAAATGCATGCACATTTATTCTGAAGTGACTAGTGTATCACTAAACTGCAATTCTGTAATCATGGTCTGATATAATAAACTTCATTCAAATTTTTTCACCGGTGGTCAACATTCTTAATTGACTGCCAAGTGAATCAAGTAACTGTAAGTTCATTTCATATTAAATTAAAGGTTTGAATGATTGAAATGACCACTTACTAGTTATACGTTCAAATTTTTTCCCAATTAATACGAGTGTTTGTTAATAGCTCTTTTCTATTACTTGATTTCTTTTTGAGTATTCTAGAATTAAGATTATTATAAGCCATCGAATTCAACAAGAGTTATACCAAATGGATGCAGACTTTTTTGATGCCTATTGGTAATGGAAAATGTTTATCAATGTTGTATAATATATGCCTATATCATTTACCAAGTGTGATCAGTTGATGATGGCTCAATTAGAAATCCAATTCTTCTAAGAGAAGTATTTTTCACACGATTACAAAATTGTATCATATAAACATCTAATAGTAAATATTTTGATATTAAATAAAAAACCGAATATTCTGCTACAGAAGCTGTGGTAGACATCGAGAAACATTCAGGGAAATCTCGTTTTCGGCTTTAAAAACACGTTATGATTATACCTAAACTTATATAAATATGTTGTACATTACTTATATTAAAATGAATTGAGACCATTAGTAGACTAGGTTCCTTGTACTGATCAAATTTCTCAGTAATATCCAATTTATGATACTGTTAAATGAATGATCAGGGTAGTTATAATTCGAAATACGGTAATATATAAATCTTTATCTTATCTGGATTTATGTATTATGAACGAAAGACACAGAACTGAAAATTATTTATCACCTTTATGCAAATTGGGTTAAAAAAATTATGTTGGTTGAATGCAAACGCATAAACAGATATATAAATGAGTAAACGTTCTTCAATACTTAATTCATTCAATAATAAGGAATGAGTCACTGAAATTAAGTCAGTGAAGATTAAGAAGAAGTTGTACCTATGAGTAGTATGAGTAAAGGTGAATTAAAAGCATTTATGCTGAAGGAATTTTATTATCTACTATTTCAAGTAATAACTGAAGCATGAAAATATTGTGAATGTGTCTAACAGAAATTCTACTTATCACAATGTAACTAAGTAAGGGATATAAAAATATAAAACTTCAAACCTTGCGTAGTTGAAGTAGAAAAGACTGAAGAGGGAGGAAGAAGATGAGGTCCCATCAACTACAGCAGAAGAACGAAGTGCGTAGATAAGCTGGGTAACAGTTTAAACCACTACATACACATTGATAAGACATATTTTTAATAGTGTTAATCAAATTCTTATCTACTTTATTCCAGGTGATCTAATTTCAAAGTTTCAACTTTAAACTCACTAAACTGTGAGCGTAGGATTTAGGCACACTGAATTATTTTGACATGGTGCAAGTATCAGTCAAAAGCAATGATTATAAATAGTTAATTGTGGTCAGTATGAAGTTCAGTAAATGATAGTGTACCACTGTTTGATGAATCAGTTAAACAGACAAGAAAAGAAGCTTCTGACATTATTCCATAATGAATTACATACAATCCAAACAGACAGAATTGTTCATAAGAAACCATTAACTACGGAAATCTATTTGTTATATTAAAGTGTTTTCACTGTGAATCACCTACAGCGCGAGCTCCATTGTATACCATGGAGCAGTGGACACTCGTATTGTCCTAGTCTGACATTCCCAAGCAGTTGACGGCATTTGGCAATGTTAACGTTATATCACGAATTAAAAGAAATTGGAAAGCATGAACCAGTCAGCTACAACCAAGTGACTGAGTTGTAAGGTGTTAGCTGTCAAACAATACAGGCTTAGGTCTAGTCTTACAATAAATTTTGCGTTCACACAGATGAATAGTCCCAGACTAGGTCGAAAGAGCTATTCAGTGCTGTCAGATTTACAGCGATATTTCTAGTTAATGCTCTTCTAGGGTGCAAACCTTTCGATACCAGTCGATTCCCTACAAGCTTCACATTTAATTAATATCAGTTTTGTATTGTGTTGCTTAACGTATTGGAGTAATACAGGGTTTTTGCAGACGCTCTAAAAGAATTTAGATTTCGTCGGGACTTTTTAATCTCATTTCTGCATTATTATTCCATAAAGTAAGATATTCATTGGTGCAACATGCTTGTAACTAAAGGTTTCAACTCACTAGTATAGTCAGAAGCCAACTGGTTTCTAAAGCTAAATTTTAAGCAATAAATGAATCATTCAGGAATATCAAAGTATTCATTCATGTATGTTTAAGTATGCGTTCTGTCTTCAGTGTGCTTTTGAAAACTATCCATTTTTTATATTAAAAAAGTGGTTTAAAATACCCTTTGAATGATAACTTGTCAATACTTACGAAAAGGCACTTAGTAAACCGGCATTCATCCCATTGTTTAGTGACCATGTTAATATTCAAGGAAAGCGTAGCTTACAAACCAAGTTCTTTATCTAAGAAGAGAACAAAAGAATGACAATTCCATTGTTCTATGCGAAAAGTGTGATCGCCTCCATTTTCAGATTTATCTGATAATTCTGACAAATGAATTATTTTTATTTGAAGAAAGCAGATAATTTATTCATATGCAGAGATGCAACATGATTATGAGCTGGTTTCTAATAAACAGTCGTGGCCATACATGGACAGTTGTTACTTGAATGCTTACCATATCCATGATAACAGACGCCAGACGCTTCTAGCATATGGTCTTTTTATGTACACTGAAATTCACTGGTAAAAATAAGTGAATTTCTGTACTTAAAAATACAGATTAAAATATGCAAATGAAAGAAATGAAAATTGCAGAATTTATCTAACTGTATAAGAATAGTGCTAAACATGTTTTGCTAAAAAATATTTACATTTCATTTTAAAGATCCATTACTAGGCATATGCTAGGTTCATATGTTGTGTAACATAGATATATATGGAGAGCAAAAAAAGCGAATAATTTGTGATAGCAGTTTCCGAGTGGTCATTTCTATGAATAACTTTTGCTTTAGGACCTGAATTATAATTTATGGAAATGACTGTCGTTTTGAGCAACTGTTTATCGCTTAGTGCTAAGGGATACCTAACTGAAAGCAATGTAGTGAAAAGAACATCAAAGTGTTAGAATGATAACACCGGTTGCGCTGTGCTTTTGAATGAATGAACGTAAAAAACCAATGCACATAATGTTCCACAAATAAAGTGTTGGGATCAGTCTTTCAAATTCTACAGGAAATATGTTGACACAACAGTTACTAATTATTATTATTCATGAAAATCTTGAATTCCAGTATAATACCTACGTTCCTTCCTACAAAGTCAATCTCAGTCGACGATACCGTTCTTTTAACCTTTGCTAAAGGAAGCATATGATTTGAAATTTAGGAGTAAAATTTAATGGAAATTGAAAGGAAACGAAAACTGATAACTTTTATTAACTGTATTCTTAAGAGCAAAAGAATCGAGTACACTAATTCAGCCCAACTTAAGAATATTTCTGTTTCTAACATACTTTCCGCGTTATATAGGGATCGAAAGTGGAAATTCAGAGAGGTTTTTCATTCAACACATATGTGAGAAAATCAGTGCACTAACAATACCAGTGTGGAACAAACTGCTTTCAGTATTAGAGGAAGGTTGGGCATAGGGCTAGCAACTTTAGACCAGAAAACCAATTCAATCGCTTAAAAAACTTCAATGCAAAAGGAAAATATGAAAAATAAAATAAAGTTATTCCTCGCTGCTATCGCGGAGACGAAATGACGACAGTTGGTAAGAGCCTTCGAGAAGCCATTTGACTGATATGTCTTTTCTCTCCCGATGAAAGAGAAAATAAACATGGTGACATGGAATTTCCGTACCATGTATGAACCTAGCAAGGCTTCCCAGATTGCACAAGAAATGAGAAGATATGGCATAGAAGTGCTTGGCTGATAATCTGCGAAAGCAGATAGAATGGAAGTGGACTCCACAAACTGTTAAGTGGACAGTCAATAGTCTGCACCAATATTGTCGCCCAGAAAACAATCACGAGCACACTAAGTTCCCGAGTGGCTATCATGTTGTCCCCAACAGCATCAAATGCTCTCATGCAGCGAGAACCGAATTTACCCAGGATCAGGATCATGACATCAAGGTTCAAGTCAAATGTCGAGGAATGGGGGAAGTTGCAGTCAAACAGTAAATACCACGCTATGCACCTACAAATAATGCAGATCAAGAGAAGATGAAGGAATTCTATAGACAACTGCAATCAGTAATCGGCAACACTCCACCACAGGTGGTGACTTCAAAATCTATTATAATGGATGGGGTGACATGAATGCCAAACAGGGAGTGAATAACACATTAAGAGAACTCATCCACAGTGGGTCGAGAAGCAGTCGGTGAAATGATGAATGAGGAAGGAGAACCGCTTGCGGACTCCTGCTCAAGTAATGATTTGGTGATCGGAGGAATTATGTACAAACACAAATCGACATCAGGCACCAAACACACTAAAAATCGCAATGATTTCATCTTAATCTGAAGAAAGTAGAAATCCAGCCTACTGGACACAATATCAGACCAGGAAGAGGAGCAGATGTAGGTTCACACCACTCACTATCTGATGAAAGGGATCTGACTTCAAAATCAAGTGGGAAGCCTTCAAAGAAGTGTGTGATAGAGCACATTTCAAGCGGAACACCCAGAACAGAATGTGAAGGACGAAACTATAAAGAACATCCTCACGTCAGTCAGACA